TGACTCTGCTGCAAAGATGCAGAAGGAGGGGTTAGTAACTGGCCAGAGGAAGGTTCATAAGACACACACGTATACAAATTCAGCAGGCCAAGCTTTTCTCCTACTTACATCAGTGTAAATTTGGAGTTATTCTATGGATGGCAATGGAGTGATTGAGGATTCACACTGCTATAAGTGGGAGAAGTAGTTGGTCAATTAGCTCTTTGTAGGTGTGGCCTGAAGGGGCTGGGGTCACTTATCCAGTTCATAGACTGGAGTAGCAGCTGCATTTCAGCTCCATTCGCTGGCTAAGGGTTGACAGGGTAGTCTTGACCATCCCCAATGTCCCTCCTACACTTCATAGGCTTTATGTGGGTAAAGTTAATTTCTCATTAAATGCTTTTATGTATTTTATGAGCCTGGACAATAATCTTGTAAATGAGTTTCCAAAACCAATAATAACTGATTGTAGCAAGGATATATACACGGAGGTACTTATACAGTACAGTATGTGCCACCTCATTCAATCAAAATGCCGACTTAACGGAAGCACAAGAACATGCATCAATTCCCCTGTTTCACCAAAATCCCATGTGTGTCAAGGTTTCACTGTATCTCCTGGAGCATATGGCTGAATGGGATTGGGGTGCATGGCCGTTCCATAGGAAAGTAATCTTTTCTCTTATAGCAACGACATAACATGCTGGCACTATATGGATTCCTCATGCAATGAAGTGACAAAATAATCCCTTCAGTGGCTCATCATTGTCCACTTACCCCACACAGAACAGAGCCTGATCTACAATGACAGCATTTGCAAAGGGAGTAGCATGGCTGGAATAGATTCTGCCACTCGCACTCAGGCTGAGTAGTACCAGGAAATGAATGGGACCGGTAGCACAGTAAGCTGCTATTCAAAGTGAGTAAGGATGGCAGTATTTGGATCACAGTTCATCAGTCAGAACAGCTAGTGCTAGGCATAAGCAGACTAAGAAATTGCTTAGGGCCCCGAGCAGCTCAAGGGGGCCCCCTATTAATTATTAGTATGTGTTGCGTGTGAGGGGGGAGGCAAAAATATTCCTGCTTAGGGCCCCCAGTGGGCTAGCACCGGCACTGGCAGAAACCATGGCCACATTAAACAAACAAACCCCGCGCTGGTGCTGACTGGCTAAAAACCAAAAAATTATCCTGAATGCCTAAGAAAAAAAATATGAGAGAAACAAAACTACATGTTATAATCAATCATTCTTATAACGCTGGATTCAAAGCTACGTTGCCACTCGTCACATCTGCAGTGCAAATACTGTAGTCATGGGGGGGGGGGGCACACAATGTTTCTTATGAGTTGCTCACTCCTAAACGGCTGAAAGTGATTGATGTGAAGCTGATATTAGCCATTCCAAGCTAATAGCGCCAGGTTGATGTATAATAGCGCTATGCTCTGTCAGATTCGCGTGTCGCGTCGCAAGCACCTGACTTAATGTGACTTCAGATGAAAAATGAAGGTAGTGGAATAGTCATTGGTTATAGAACCTTTCACCTCTAGTTCACTTGTTCCTATCCAAACCAGGCTGTTAGTGACAGAGACTTGTTACCACCTGGTGTCTTCCTCGTGAAACGGGAGGGCTAACTCAGTACAGTTCCTAGTAGACAGCTCTCCACATTACAAAAACCAGCATCACAATCAGACCTAAGGACTGCATGGACATGAGATTCTCTCCCCTTGAGTTGGTGCCTCCAAGCCAGAAGAAGTGATTTGGATGGGTGACTATGGGGAACCTCACACTGCTGCTGCCCCGCCAGTTCGGTAGCTAACAATAAGCGTTTGCTTCCCAGCTCTGTTCACCTGGGATCTTTCATAAGCATTAACTGCACTTTAAAAAGGAAAGGAAAAATCATGTCGGTGACAGAGCAACGACTGCCCCCAATGGTCTAATAGATCGTGACAGGAGATGATATGAGATCACTATGGCATTCTCATCGCAAAATTCACTGATGTCGATAGTCGTATTAGGAAAATACTTTTGAATAAACTGAAGTTTGGAATTGTGGCTTCCAGGGGATTTTCTATGCTGCCTTTTGACATGTTATGACATTTGCACAAGGTGAGGTTCAGTAGAATCAGCCTGTAATTGACACTCAATTTAATCATAAGTGTAAGTTCTGTCTCATTTTATTTCTGTTAACCTTATGAAAAAAGAAATTCTTTCCCCTCTTGGGGCTATTCACTCAGAACAGCCTCATGATCTACTCCGCAGTCAGAATGTGCAGCCAGATTCTGAAGTGACACTCTTCATTGACTGCCAATTGAGCACTAAGGCCAACACAAGTTCAGGGTGAAAAATGGCACTACAAATAATCCTTCAGTGACAGCAGATTATGGTCAAGGTGTTTTGTCAGTCATTTAGAATGAGAGAGTCTCTACCACTACAGGCCAAACGTCTTAAACTGGATGCCTAAACTTTGGTTCCTGAATCCACATTTAGGCTTGTGATTAAAATCAGCCTCACGTTCAGAGGAGCTGAGCCCTCCAGTTCCCACTGATTTCCCACCTACCCGGCTCTCATCATTGTAGCCTACACTTCTCTGTATGTTGCTTTTCCTGCTACGCCCCTTTGGTGTGTAAATGACACTCATTTGACACACCCACTGCCTCGAAGCATTTACATTCCATTACTACTTGCACTTGTTTCCTGAACACACTATGTCTGATGTTTTAGAGGGGTAGCTGTGTTAGTCTGTATCAGCAAAAACAACGAGGAGTCCTTGTGGCCCCTTAGAGGCTAACGAGTTTGTGTCTGATATGTCATTTACACCACCACTAAATTTGGCTCAGAGCTTTCCGTGGGAGTTGCACTTGTTTACAACTGGTGTGAATTTGGTGCTCATAACTATGCTCAGTTTGGGCACAGATACTGGTTCCCATGGGCCATCCGAGGAGACTTTGCAGTGCTGGCTTTGGGAAGGATGAGAGGAACTTTGCTAGTGCAGATAAAGACAAAGGGAAGCAGGCTCTGTAGGGCCACTTGTTCCCCACCCCATGCAGGTGGGAGAGAGGGGGAATGGCATGGGGAGGGAGTAGCTGTGCTGTTGAATGCACATGGCACTGTGTATAGACCTTGCACAGTTTACTCTCTCCCTCCAGCAGTGAGTGGATCCGGAGGGAGAGCATAGTTCTCTCAGTCACAGGTCCCCTCCCAGGCTGCTCCTGAGGCAACGTAACAGCATGCTGCTCCTTACTCTGGCCTTGTGAGAAAGCCGTGACTGAACCCTGTATCTAATGCAGCCAGTGTTTTCCAAAACAGCTGCTATGAAATGACATTGTAAAGGAGATGCAGAGAGTACAAAATAGTCACATCTGATGAACTGTAGCTTTCCACCAGAAACAGACTTTCCACACAAAGCCTCCAGGCAGCAGGCCCTCAACTACTATACAAATGTCCAGGCTTCACAGATACATCAGGGGTGCTGGAAATGCCTTATTCTGAGCAGAACAATACAACTTTTCAATGTTTGGTTTCCTAATTCTCTTCCCCCATAATATGTGGCTTCAGAGTGAGATGACAGCTGGATCAGCTTCCCAGAAAAGTCTGCTCCTGCATGGACTGTGCACCGTAAACTCCCACTAGCATGGTGTGTAAAGAAGGCAGGGTTAGGGTCTTCCTGATGAATGAGTGATTTGGGGATCATAACTGTGGACACTATAGCATTCTCCTCACCCTTGCAGACAAGTAACTCCCATTAAATGTACACCATCAACAGGAGAATGTGCTCCCAAAGCAATAACGTTGTTGTTAATAAAAGGAAAGGAAAATAAACTAAGCCATGAAAAAGGATTCAGATGAACTGTAGATTCAAAGCCTGGTCTTTGCATCTTCCTGAAGGCTGCTGCTTACAAATGTAATGTCCTTTCTCTCCTGCGATACCAATCAGCCACTCCTCCTCTTTCAAATCGTCCTGTGATCTATTGAGGACTGTGCTGGAACCCCAAGCTATCGCTTTAAGACAGAGGGGGTGGGGTGTTCCTTAGTCATGCTTGCAGCCTAGGGGACTCTGTAGCATAGTGGGTGTGACCAGAGTCAGTTTGAAAAGAGACAGCTCAAAGCAGGTTGTGCCTTTTTGTTTTAGGGAGTAGCAGGTTTTATTTCTCTATTTTGGGCTTCTTGTCTGTTTTGAATTGTAAGAAATAAAGTAGTGTTACATTCCAACCTTCCAGCAGGAGTATTCTATGTTTTTATTTAATTTCTCTCTTTGTAGGCTGTGAAGCATAACACCTCCCTTAAAACACACAGCATCTGCAAGACCTAGCAATATTAAATCATCAAGCAGTGTGTGTGTGTGTGTGCGCTCACGCGCGCATTGTTTGATGTTTTGGCTTTCAATGCATGGTTTGTTTGGTCTATATCTTCTTTAGATTTTAAGGTGCAGAGACCTTCCCTTTTCTGTTTGTACAGCACTGAGCACATTGCCTGTGCTCAGCAAATAATAAACCAAATCTTTTAAAGAATCACAAATCCAATCTAGATTTATACTCACTGGGTAGTTCTAAAAGTGAGAGAAGTTGGGCCTGATTCTGATCTCAGTTTACCACTATGTAAACCCAGAATAGTTCTGCTAAGGTAATGGCATTACTCTGGAGTTATAGTAGGTAACTAATAGGAACCTGGTCCAATGTGTTGGATTGCTTACAAATTGCCACAAGCTACATACAGAATAGCTTTCTTTCCCAATCTGAGTGGGGGGTAACTAGTGGGGAGTGGAGCAATTTACCAAGGGCTGTGGTGGATTCTCCATCACTGGCAATTTTAAAATCAAGATTGGATGTTTTCATAAAAGATCTGCTGTAGGGATTAGTTTGGGGGAGTTCTACAGCCTGTGTTCTACAGGAGGTCAGACTAGATTATCACAACGGTCCTTTCTGGCCTTGGAATCGATGAGCGTTATCTTCTGGCTGAGCACTGAAAAGCCTCATTTTCATTGGTCCTCATCACATCTTTAACAGTAGTTGAATCAAAACCCACCTGACTCAAGCCTTCCATTCTCGTACTGCGTTGGGTTTCCAGAGGTGCTGCTGTACTGTGGGAAAGGCTGATTACTGAAGAGATTGTCACACAGTAGGTTGCGGCAGAGCTTTTTGAGGAAGCGCAGGACATAGCCAATGCTGTTCACTACTGGCAGGCTCAGGAGGTGCTGCTTCCCATCAAACGAAGCAGAAACTGAAAAGCAAGTGAGGACAATTCAGTACACTCAACGATGCACGGGAGCAAAACAGTCTGAGAGGTCTTTTTAATGGTGTATGAAAATGGTTCCAGGCAATGTTTGTTTTGGTTGCATAGAATATTTTCCATAGAGAGGGATCTGAACCACAACCCTAGATCGAGATCCAAATTTTGCAGCTGGCCCTGACCTCTGTAATGGACTAACCTCAAATGCTAGTCCTGCCAGGACTTTGACGAAGATCAGATCTGAAGACGAACTTTGTGGCTCAAGTAGTGAAAAGTGGGGAGTGTGATTGGGAAGCATTTGAAGAAAATATTTATGTAAAGCAGTTAGGCTGGAAGGAGGTGAAATCTACAGCCTGAAATTGTGTTGGAAGCCTCACTCAACTTCCTGTCAGAAGGAGGCAAGTGGGTGGTGAGCGAATAAGGAGCTACTTCCTGGATAAGGATTCAAGTCTCCTAGATCCAGGAAGTTCATCTGCTAAGATGACTCCAAGCAAAGGGCAAAGGTTCCCACTCTGCTTCCTGTTGGAAGGACTCGTGTTCCTCTGTTTGTCGGATGATTCTTACTGGGAGTGGGAGATTATGGGCCAGATCCTCTGCTGATGTAAATCAGCATAGCTCCATGGACTTCAATGGAGTGGTGTCAATTTATATCAGCTGAGGTTCTGACCCAATATCATTTTTTAAGAGTAGAAACAGCTGTGATGCCATTTGTTCCTGATAGTCACTCCTGTCCCTTGTCTGTTGCTGCTGGGAGGGAAGGAAGAGAAAAAAAAATCTGAATGAGGTTTTTAGCTTTGGTACTTGAGTTTGATTCTAATCAGAAGACCCGAGTACAGTGAATTGTTCAGTCCTGGCCCATATGGCGATTCCCCCAGTAATGTGAATGAGAATCATGCTCACGCAAGGAGAGAAGAATAAATGAACAGTAGAAACCTCACACTACACTGCACTGCTCACCGCTGATTTGCATGTTTTCAGGAACGAATTAGAATAATTTTCTGAGTGTATCTGGGTTCTCTCAAGAAAGCTGTAGCTGGAGTTAGAGTGCCCAAAGGGGAAACAAAAGGAGTAGGGAGGAATCATTAAGTGTTGCACAGCAGGACAGAGCTCTAGGTCACAAAGCAGAGGGAGAGTCTTAGTTGATAGGGCAAAGCTGGGGTGGTCCTTGCAATTCAGGTTGGACTAGATCCTGAGTGATTTCAGCCTTACTTCTTGCTTGCTGCTCTCTATCTTCAGGAGCTCATTTGAAAATTATTATTTTTATTTTATTCCCTTGTTCCAAAGCAACAAAGGGATCTAGGGGTTATAGTGGACCTCAAGCTAAATATGAGTCAACAGTGTGATGCTGTTGCAAAAAAAGCAAACATGATTCTGGGATGTATTAACAGGTGTGTTGTGAGCAAGACACGAGAAGTCATTCTTCCACTCTACTCTGCTCTGGTTAGGCCTCAGCTGGAGTATTGTGTCCAGTTCTGGGCACCACATTTCAAGAAAGATGTAGAGAAATTGGAAAGGGTCCAGAGAAGAGCAACAAGAACAATTAAAGGTCTTGAGAACATGACCTATGGAGGAAGGCTGAAAGAACTGGGTTTATTTAGTTTGGAAAAGAGAAGACTGAGAGGGGACATGATAGCAGTTTTCAGGTATCTAAAAGGGTGTCATAAGGAGGAGGGAGAAAACTTGTTCACCTTAGCCTCTAAGGATAGAATAAGAAGCAATGGGCTTAAACTGCAGCAAGGGAGGTCTAGGTTGGACATTAGGAAAAAGTTCCTAACTGTCAGGGTGGTTAAACACTGGAATAAATTGCCTAGGGAGGTTGTGGAATCTCCATCTCTGGAGATATTTAAGAGTACGTTAGATAAATGTCTATCAGGGATGGTCTAGACAGTATTTGGTCCTGCCATGCGGGCAGGGGACTGGATTCAATGACCTCTTGAGGTCCCTCCCAGTCCTAGAATCTATGAATCTATAAATAACCCAAACCTCCTGCTATATAAAAAGTATTCATGCTAAGCCTTCAGTTCACAGTAATCTCTGCTCTCAGCTGCCCCAGACATGGATCCAAATTCTATTCTCTATTCTTCATTGGGGTTCCATGGGTGTGGCTGAGAGCAGATCTGGCCCATGGATAGTACACAGAGGGCAATCTTGTCAATGGGTCAATGGGTGTTTTACCTAGGAGTAGTATTTGACCCACCCATAATGCATATAACTTAAGCAAATGGATAATGCTGTGTGTCACTGTACAATTAGATTTAATACACAGCCCGTGTTAGTCCAATCCTTTTGTTTCCCCTGTATTGCTTCTTTCCCCACTGTTCGATTAAAAAAACCCATCTTGAACCAGGAAAAAAAGTGAGAAGACAAAGAGAAATTAATTTAAAAATGAGATAGGAAATAGAAGTGCTTTTGATATTTGATTTTTACTGGCTGCTTTGTTGGGCCAAACAAATGACATTTTCAAACACACGATGTGTTCTCTCAGTAACAAGAACTAGGCTGCGTAATCACTTAATAGCATTCCAAAAACAGATACTGTTGTCTCTTGTGCCAGTATACTGTATACCTGGGGCCTAATTCTAATCTCAAGTCTGTACAATTCCATTGACTGCAATAGAGGTACTCCTAACTTCTATGGGTGGAAATGAGGCTGGGCCGATGATTTGAATAACGCTGATATGACCTTGAGATTTAAAAGAAAGGTTATGATTTTATAGCACTTTCAGATTTATTGCAAAGCCTTTTTTCAATGTTTTACCTGACACCATCTCGCCTCCATAGCCCTGCTTGACAAGTGAGAAGACAGTCTTTTGCTGATGTGCGCAGTCAATGCATGCCTGAACTGCCTGCTGTAGGACCATGGAAGGTCTTTCAGGGCCAAAGTGATCTGGAAGCTGTTGCACTTTTTTCCTGTCAAGGTATGGCCCCATGTTTGCCTGTTTGTTGACGTAAATGCAGACTGTAGACACAAAATACCAACACAGTTGTTAAAAGATATTCACATGACAACCAACCCTGTTTTCTGGTTTTGTATATTTCATGATATTTAATTAAGAGCCCTTTCCAGTGTGAAATATCATGATGCGCAGTGACACAAATGACTAAATGCTGCTGGTTTTACTCCCATTGGATGAGTAAAGCAAGCAGAAATTGGCCCTGTATTATATTTGGATAAGTGATGACAAGTCACCTGCAACTAAGGAAGTTACTGAAAAAACTGCTGAGTCATGTGCAATACTAAAAATGTCACGCTGTGCAAAATTCTGTCTCTGTGCCAGCTCACAGGGACTGTCACAGACTCCTGAGCTCAAACGCCACGTGCTTCTACCTGATTGTGTCATATGACCAGCGACACTGAAAAGTTTCTCACTTAGAGTGAAATTAAGCCGGGAGTTTAGAAGTCCCACAGGAAGGCCCTCTGCACCATTTAAGATCTGCAGTGGGGCTGTGTATGGGATAGAGGGTGAGGGCCAGCTAGCAATGTGATCTGTATACCTCAGGCGGTCATCCATGCAAGCCTCAGAAAGGTGGTTGCTAGTGGCAATTTCTGAGCAGACTGGGGGCATGACTAGGCCCTGGGGCTGTGTACACAAATTGCTATCCTGCAACAGGCACTGTCTGGGAGATTTACGTGTTGAGCCTTTCCGAAGCAGAAGTGAAGGGAACTGCTGACTGTGCTGCCTCCAAGCTCCTCCGGAGCCATCATACCCTGCAAAGGCAGAACAGTTCACTCCACACACTCAGCTGCTACCATCCCAAGCCCTCAGAGAAGCGAGGGCAAAAGTTTGCCCCTATATTGCAAATGTTTAGAATAGAGAAGTAGAGAATAAGGATAACAGTAATTGGATGGGTAGCTACCCAATAGAGGGCACTGCTGGGACTAAAACGGTGTGTCGGCAGCAACACGTTGAACCATTCTGCAGCACCGTTTTGTAAAATGGTTTATAATGTAGTTAGGGGCCCCAGCTATACCAAGATAATCCTTGTTAACACCTGGCTAGCAGGAGCCTTGTTTAAGCATGCGGGAGGTTATCTCAGTTTCAGGGAGACTATAGACGAGCCCGTGGTAAGACAAGGCCTGGGTAAGTCTAAAGTAAGATATATTATAATAGCTGACTGAGTGTGCTAGAGCTGTCATCTTCCAGGCAATATAACATCATCCTCTGACAGAAATCGGATATGTGACAACAAATATCAAACGTAGCGGAGGACATGGTGACAGCTGTGTAATGTTGTAAGTAATGTACAGTTTGCATCACCATAATGAAAATCTAGTGCTAATGTCACAGTGCACTCTAACGGTTATGATATAGCCACTCGTATTGAACAACAGGAAGGACTCCAGCAATAAATTCTGGGCAAATATGAATATAATAGCAATAATACTTAACACTACATAGTGCTTTATATTTTCCAAGTGCTGTACATAGAAAGATACAATATAGTTAAAAATATAAGCAGCGTGTATGAGCTGTGGAGAGCTCTTAGACTGTAGATTTACTAACCAAATACAACATAAGATATAATACAGTGGTCCCCAAACTTTTCAGGGTTGTGCCCCCCCCTTACCCTGTCCATGCCCCCTCCGGAGCTGGGGCTGGGAGCAGGGCTGTGGCTTCTGGGGAGGGAGGGGGCCAAGAGCGCAGACAGGGATAAGGGGACCATGGCCAGGGCTGAGGCTGGAGGTGGGGCCAGGGCTAGGAATGGAGCCCTGGCCAGGGGCTGAGGCTGGGGGTGGGGCCGGTAGTGGGACCATGGCCAGGTGTGGAGCTGTTGCCAGGCCATGGTTGGGGCTGAGGCTGGGGGCAAGGGCGGGGCCAGAGCCAGGAGCTGGGGCTGCAGCTGGGGGCGGAGCCAGAGCAGAATTGGGAGGAGAGCAGGACTGGGTGACACTCCCTCCCCCCCCCATGGGGACTGGCCTGGGCCTTGCCTTACCCCACCCAAACATTCATCCACTATTGGGGAACCTCTGATAGAATAGAATATCAAGACTCAATTTCTGTCTGTGTTTGTGTTTCTGAATTTGGCTCTGGGATCTGTTTCATTTGCCTAAAACTGGATTTGGTCATTTGCAGCACCCCATAAGAATGAATAAGAAGGATTTGGTGGAAGGAGGCATCTCCTGGATAACATTTTGTCTCCTGACATTTAAGAGACTTAGAGGGAATTTTTCAAAAGGGCATAAATGATTTAGCACAGGGGTTCTCAAACTGGGGGTCAGGACCCCTTAAGGGGTCATGAGGTTATTATCTTGGGGGTCGTGAGCTGTCAGCCTCCACCCCAAACCCCACTTTGCATCCAGCATTTATAATGGTGTTAAATATATTAAAAAGTGTTTTTAATTTTATGGTGAGGGGTGTCGCACTCAGAGGCTTGCTATGCGAAAGGGGTCACCAGTACAAAAGTTTGAGAACCACTGATTTAGGAGCTCAAGTTTCATGAACTCTGTTCCCAGCAATGCCACAGACTTGAAGAAGTCACTTCACCGTTGTGCCTCTCCTTACCCTCCTGTAAATTAGGAATAGCGATATCTATCTCACCAGGGTATTGTGAAGCTCTGTTATTTAATATATGTAAAGCACGTTGTGAGCCAGAATGTAAGGAACTAAATAAGTGGAAAATATTATATTCTTATTAGAATGCTACCAAAGAAGAAGTGAGATTTTTCCTTTGCATGCCTGAGCTAAGGAGGATTTTTGGTTTTGTTTATATCTAGCATTATCAAACCTGTTTCTGTATCGAAGTCTCAGGATAAATCCACCCTCCTCCAAATTATGGCCTGCTTCTCCTATCACTTACAGGACTTAAATGGTTACTTCTGATAACTCCAACGTCAGTGGGAAGAGAATCAGGCCCGTATTTTCCATAAATCATTAAACCTTGTCAGACAGAAAGGGCCAGACCCTCATCTGGTATAAATCAGTGTAAGTGATGTTGATGGACCAATGCTGGTTTACACCAGTTGAGAATATGACCCAGAGTCCTTAGATCACATTCCTCCCTCTCCAAGAAATGTAAGTTTCTTCTTTTCCCAAAATTAAATTAACAGGTGCCTTAGGTTCACACTACACCATTGATTCCGGTTATTGCTTCATCAATGCCAGTGCAACTCTGACATTAGAAATGCAAGTGCCTGTGAGAGGTTGATATATTTATTCATGGGGAATAGATTTGAGATCTGTTCCAAACCTGGATTAAAAACACAGAAGCAGGACTTCTATACACGGGCCTGAGTCTCCACCTCTCTGTACCTTGTATAGGTATTCACATCTATTCAAAGTGTGTATAAAATGCTACAAAATCAGAATGATATTGTTTACCTGAACTTTGCACAGAGGGAAATGACAATACAAGGTGCAGGGCAAAGGAGAATCAGGCCCACTGACTCTCTTAGCCAACCCTCAAACTACTCAGTCAAAATGTACACACAGGTGCCGGAACTAGGGGTGCCACACCCCCTGGCTTGAAGTGGTTTCCATCATACACAGGGTTTACAGTTTGTTTCAATGGCTCTCAGCACCCCCACTGCACAAATTGTTCCAGCACCCCTGAATGTACAGTCTTATAAAAAGTTACAGCTCAGAAGCCAACGTGCTCCATCTCTGCTCTGTGAGTTTAGCAATCAGTTTAGTAGGCAAATGTACTAAATCCTTCAGTCTTCATTTTTCAGGGATTAAGTTTGCTTTAGAAAGCACAAGTATCTGACTATCAAACTACTGTATCTGCCCACTGCTTTGCAATGCGGCATTTGATTCAACATACCAGTGAGAGCTTGTGGGGCAGCCGAATTGGGTATTGTAGCTGCATCCTGAGGGATTGAACTAATATCAGGTTCTGGTGTGCTTCTTGGAGGAGAGATTGCTAAAGGAGTCATCAGAACACGAGACTTCAGCTGCAAGACATAACCAATTTGGGTAATGAAAATACATACAGTGCATTTTATTTTTATCCCACACGTTTCACTTCCACTGAACTCCCACTTATTAGCAATTTGCTCTCGCATCATTTTACTTCCAGCCAAGAGACTCCTTTCACTCTTTGAAAGATAATGGACTGAAAGAAACTGACATTGATTTGCAATGAGCAGTAACACTTTAAGTAGCAGGATACAATATTATACCCCCACTGTGTACTTAGTTACACTTGAGCAAAGTGGGTGTAAAATCAAACAAATCACAATGGTAGCATTTTACACACCCTTTACTCAGGTTTAAATAACTTGGCGAGGCTCAAAGCAGCAGAGAATCGGGCTCTTTATCTACACAGTAATTTAGGGCCAAGTTTTGCTCTCAGTTACACAAGTGTAAATCTAGTGCAAAACTCAATGACTCAAGTGGGGCTAATGAAAATGGGATTTGGCTCTTAACATGGTTTAGGGGTTAGTGTCATGTTACTAAATGTCAATTGCTACGTAGTTACACTTAGGGCTTGTCTATACTTACCGCGCTGGTTTGGCGGCAGGCAATCGAACTTCTGGGTTCGATTTATTGCGTCTAGTCTGGACGCGATAAATCGAACTCAGAAGTGCTCCCTGTCGACTCCGGTAATCCTGCTCGCCGAGAGGAGTACGCGGAGTCGACGGGGGAGCCTGCCTGCCGGGTCTGGACGGCGGTAAGTTCGAACTAAGGTACGTCGACTTCAGCTACGTTATTCACGTAGCTGAAGTTGCGTACCTTAGTTCGATTTGGGGGTTTAGTGTAGACCAAGCCTTAGTAATCCTGCTAACTTGTGGTATGCTTTAGAGACAAAGAGTTCATCTACACAGCAAAACCAGAACTGCCACAGTGAGTCTCCGAGCCCAGGTCAACTGACTCTGGCTCACAGGTCTCACAGTACAGGGCCAAATATAGCAGTGTAGACGGTCAGGCTTGGACTGGAGCCTGGGCTCTGAAGGCTGGCAAGGAGAGAGGGGTTTTTTGCTGTGTAGACATATCCATAAGCACCATGAGTATTTACTGTGTAATAATACAGTGCGATTATCCTTACAATACCTGGCAATGTCTATCCAATTAAATGATGGCTGGTTACCTTGTAATTAAAGAGTACTGGCATGATGATATAGGGGTCCTGAAAGCATCACCTCATTTTTCTTTTGGTATAGCGATAAACTTCAAGAGCGCATGAATGAATATTGGCTATTCTCCAGCACATGAAATGGTGAATTCCACATTCTACATCAGCCAGTTCAAGATGTTCTTCTTACAACTGATTTTTCTTTGTTTTTAATGGACAAACTACAGAATGCTACAGAAGAATGGTTTGAGGAAAATTAAACAACTTTCACGTCCATACTCATTATAAGGGATGTCGCTGCCTATGAACCTTCACCCAAACCAGCGTTCGAAGGAAGTCGGTACCATTAGCTGCAACCCCAAACCGTGACCAAAATCTTGTGGCGAGACAGACATTCATTGATAAAGACTTACCCATCTTACCAATAAATTGTTGGACAAGATATCTGCCAATGGTTGCAAATGCCTAAAACAGCCACCAGTTCGTTTCATCACGGTGGTAAAAACAGCTGGATCAGGAATCTGATCCGAAATCCACTGAAGTCAATAAGAGTCTTTCCATTGTATTTCATGGACTTTGGATCGTGTCCCAAATACAGACTCATTCCAATTATTGCTTCAGCATCTCTTGAGCTCAGTCGTGTAATAATACCACCATCTAGCTCTTATATAGCGCTTTTCATCAGTAGGTCTCAAAGCACTTTACAGAAGAGAGCGGTATCAATCTCATTACTTCCTCACACAACATACAACCAACCTGTGGAACTCGTTGCCAGGGATGTTGTGAAGGCCAAAAGTATAGCTGGGTTCAAAAAAAGAATTAGATAACTTCATGGAGGATAGTTGCATCAATGGCTATTGGCCAAGATGGTCAGGGATGCAACACCATGCTCTGAGTGTCCCTCTGATTGGTAGAAGCTGGGACTGGATGACAAGGGGTGGATCACTTGATAATTGCCCTGTTCTGTTCATTCCCTCTGAAGCATCTGGCATTGGCCACTGTCAGACAACAATTTAGTGGGAGAGATGGACCAGCAGTCAGCCCTAGTATGACTGTTTTTACAGCTGTTTTATAGATGAGAAAACTGAGGCACAGAGAAAGGAAGCAACTGGCCCATAGTAACCCAGCAGCAGAGCTGGGACTAGAACCCATGTCTCCTGAATCCCAGGCCAGGGATTGAGCCACTAGGCCACACCACCTCCCCCCAAAACAAATACTTCTATATTCTCAATAAAAAACAACAACTTTTTGTTGCAGTTGGCGCAGTTTCTGTTGGAATTATCTACCTGACACAGCCTGCCATACAGCCAATCCCCCCTCCTTAAAACACACTTCTTCATGAGGTTTATAAAACCTAGTCCTTCCCTCAAGGGGGACTTACTCCAGAATGCCTGATACAATATATACCTAATAAAATCAAATCTAAACTTCATCAGGCAGTCACTGTGCTCTTTCTTGTACCCCAGCCCCCTCTGTTGTCTGATTAGACTGTGAGCTCTTTAAGGCAGGGACTTCATCTCCTTGCTAGCTGGAAAGAAACAAGCTCATTTGTGGTACTATAGAACAATAATATGATTGCGATTACATTTCATTCAATCCTATTGTGAAGACACAAAGCAAAAGCCCCTGCATTTGGTACTCCTAGTGGCCCTTGGTGCAAAATCAAAACCATGGGACTGACTAGCACATTCAAAGGAGCTGAAATATTTATGAGATGATTGCAGAGTTACTATTCCCTACTCCCCCCCATCCCCCAGGTTCATGGGGCAGAAGGATGCGCAAGTGTGGGCATGAAATATTGTATATTAAGGTTTTGTACAGTGGCTCAACCAGCTCATTGATTACATTGGGTTACTGTGATGTTAGTTGTGTCATTATTCATTACGATAAATAATGATCCATATATAGTGCTAGAGGGGTGCCTGGTGTTTTATAAACAAGTAAGATGATCGATGGCACTTAAGTCAATGGAGGAAGAGGGGGTTTAAACATATGCTAAAAGTTAAGAATTGGTTAAGTGCTTTGCTGAATCAAGGCCTAATTGTTCAATCCATTTCTGAAGCAGGCTAAGCTCTTGGTCCTAATAAGATCTTGTGGCAATGAGCTCCACAGGCTAATTGTTCATTGTTTTAAAAAGCATTTCCTTCACCAGTTTTAAATTTGCTGTGATATCAGGTTATAAAACATGGCAGCTCCTGATGTTAAGTCAATGCACAGGTCAGGCCTGCAGGGAGCTAGGCAGGTCAGGTGATTCATTCTGGTCTATTCTCTAGTAGCATTATGCTCAGTTCAGCACTTAGAGAACCTTTGGGTGTTAAAATTAGAATGGAGAAAGTCTGCTCAGAGCCACTGGTGATTTTTCAACCATTAAAATCAATGGCGGCGGGTTGGGGGGGGGGCGGGAAGATAAGCGTTGGAAAGCCTTAAGCTGGAGCTGGTGTGGGGTTTGCAAAGTGTGGTAAGTCAGAAAGTGAAATTGTTAGTTTATCCGTGGTAGTGAGGGTTGATGCTACGAAACTTACAGTGTCCCTCACGCTGGAGTTCTGTGCTCCTTCTCTCAGTTAGGGTTGCCAGCTGTCTAATTGCACAAATCCAAGCACCCTTGCCCTGCCCCTGCCATGCCCCTGCTCCGAGGCCCCACCCCTTCCCCGAGGCCCCACTCCATCTTGCTCTCCCCCACCCTCACTCACTTTCACCTGGCTGAGGCAGAGAGTTGCGGTGCAGGGGGTGTGGGCCCTGGGCTGGGGGTGGGGCCAAGGGGTTCAGAGTGTGGGAGGGGGCTCCGGGCTGAGCCTGGGGCAGGAGATTGGGGTGCAGGAGAGGGTGCAGGGTGTGGGAGGGGACTTGGGGCTGGGGCAGGAGTGTGAGAGGGGGTTGGGGTGCAGGCTCTGGGAGGCAGATTGGGTGTGGGATGGGGCTCAGGGCTGGGCCAGGAGGTTGAGGTGTGGCTGGGGAGAGGGGTGCAGACTCCGGGTGACGCTTACCTCAGGCAGCTCCCGGAAGCAGCCGGCATGTCCAGCTCCTAGGTTTGGGGCAGCCAGGTGGCTCTGTGTGCTGCCCCTGCCTGCAGGCACTGCCCCACATCTCCCATTGGCTGTGGTTCCTGGCCAATGGGAGCTGCGGAGTCAGTGCTTGGGGTGAGGGAAGGGTGCAGAGACCCCTGGGCTGCCCCTGCGCCTATGAGCCAGTGGGACGTGCTGGTCGTTTCCAGGAGCCTCATGGAGCCAGGACAGGCAGGGAGGCTGCCTTAGCCCCGCTGTGCCGCAGACCGGACTTTTAGTGGCTATTAAAATCTCTCAGAGTGGTTTCAGTAGCCACTGGGAGATCAATTCTGATTCCAGGAGACTCTCAGCCAATCCGGGAGGGTTGACAACCCTACTCAGTCCAATTTGATTTGTTTGTTTTTGTTTCGGAGAAGGGGCACCTAAAAGTGGTACTTTATTTGTGGTTTGGGCTGTTTGTCCTTCTTAGTGACTCACAGCAGGCTGGCCTCAAACTTGACTCACACACACTAGTCCCCCCCAGCCCTCAAGAACTCAAGACTCCTGAATCATTTTAACAGGAGCCCTTCATGAGGTGAGCACTGCAGATCTGTCAGCTTATGCATCTTTAGTGGCACATTCTTGGCCTTCTTTAAAGTTTTCTTCTGCATCTTCATCCTAGTCGGTGCAGGTCAGGCTGGTGCGCAGCTCAAGAGCAAATAAACAGGGTACTAGACCGTTGTGAGCTCACTAGTTTGGAAGCCTCTTCTTTCAGTTTTAGTAAACAGTTTTCTGCAAATCTAATTAAAACTGAATTTGCACTAAAGCATCCATGTACAAATAAATGCCACTTCTAGGGGGGAAGAACGAGGGAAATTTTATACTTAGACCATAATAA